TGATGTAATATCGTATTTATCTGAATAAAGCTAAGTGCCAGGGACCTAAGTGGTCACCTTAATATTAAAAAAAAAAATAAAATTAAATTACTAGAGCTGTAACCAGTTTTAAAAAGCTCTAAAAATCATATTTTTTTGTTGTTTTAAATACTGAGTAGAAGCTTATAATATAGCTTGACTTAAAAGAGTAATTATGATAAAAAAATATAAAAATTATATATAGATGAGAATCAAATTTAGTGTTTAATTTTATACTAAATACTGCAGAGTAATTAGTATTTAGCAATTGTATATTGTTTACAAAGCTTCACTTTTTTCAATTTTAATATTATAATTAACAAGATTTTTATTTTGAGTTCACTGTTTTACTTTTACAACATAACTATAAATATAATAAAATTGGTTTAAAAAAAGATAAAAAACACTTTTAATAGACCTCCTTTGAGTTTTATGTATTGTTATTTTATATAAGTCAGTAAAGTCTTGTACCTATAATTTAACTTGTTTAATAGTAGTAATGTTAATACAAAATTCTGCTTCTAAGAGTTTATTATATGTATTCAAAAACTTATATACAAGTATTTTTATAAATGAGTTAATTGCATATTTATAATTTTTAAGCAAAGTATATTGTAAAATATTCAACAAATCTATATTATTTTGTTAATTAGATTCTATAGTATGTATTAAAAAAACAATTAAATGCTAAACAAAGGATATAAAGGCTGCTATTTATTACTTATAAATGATAAAAAAAAGCACTTTTAATTAAGCTATTATTAGCTTTTATAAAATAATTTTTTTTATAAATTTCATAAATGTTTTTATTTTTTTTACATTAACAAAAGATTTCATATTATCTAATCTTTTAATTAATAGTTAATGCTATCTATTATCTTTGGGGCTTGGTGCTATACAATAAGAGTATTTTATTCTCTTTTTCTATTTCAAGCAATTTATTTTTCATCAATCTGAGAAATAATTAACACAGCCCTTCTAAGAACTGCCTTTTTTAGTTTTATTACATCCTCTCTTTTTATTTTATTCTCAATTATGATCTTTGATTTACCTTTTTAGATTAGCACCTTCATGCTGTTTTAGCAATTATATTGTTTAGATTATGGAAGTTATATGAAAATAAGTTACAGATCTTAACAATTTATATCAATTAGATATATATGAAATAACTCTGAAATAACCCATTTACTAATCATGATTCGTAATTAGTAAATAGAGCTTATTAATTTTCTATTAAATAATCAAATTATTTGGATTAAAATATATTGATTGAATTGCTAAATAAAGGATAGTTTTATTTATTCAAATACCAGTAAACACTATTATCTGAAATAATTATAGTTATTGAATATAGAACAACCAATATCTAGAGTTTCGCATAATAAATAGCAAATTATTCAAATAAATTATTTATCCAAATATTTGTTAAATAATTATTTAAAAAGTTTATTTGAATGCGAACACAAATGGGAATACAAATACGAATATGAATACGTAAGCTTTAATAATGATACTTATTCAATTAAATAAACAAGTTTTTACTTTTGCCAAATATATAGGAAAAATACAAAAGAAATAGCTATATAATATCGGATATTCTATATATTTTAAAACTAAGTTTAATAAATTATACAATCTAAAAATCTAGTTGAAATAGATGATAAGTAATATTTCGTTCATAAAAATTGAACTAAAATTTCTCATACGACTGGTTTTATATAGTTCTGTATATATAAGCAGTATACTTTTATTTGAATAAAAAATTAATCGTATCATATATATACTATTAAAACGTGAATCTGATTGGTCGGCTAGATCACGCAGAAGATCATGTTGAAGTAGATATTCAACAAACCGGGCACAGATTCAAAATTTGCATTCTATCCCTGTAAAAAAAGTTAAGCTTTATTTTTCCATTATTTTTCCATGTTTTAAATCCGTATTTTGTCCATTTAAATTATTAACACTCACTTCCATATTTTTTCCATAAATGTAGCATATTTGCGGAATATTTACAGAATTATATTACACAAGTAATGGAAATTACACAAAAGCTTCACTGACTCATAATAGTAAAAACAAGATTTTTATTGAAAATGTACAGATACTTTACTGAAATATTAACGGAATTATTATATAGTAAGACAATATTTTTATTGAAATTGTACGGAGAATTTACTAAAATATTACAAGCTATAAAATCTATTAAATTTATATAATTGTAAGCAATATACATTATATGTACGGATATAAGCTGGAATTTATATTGAGTAACTTTATATATCGTAAAACATAATGATAATGCATGTGCAGTAATTGTTCAAACCTATCATTGTCGTATGGATCAAATAAAAATGACACCGCAATTTATAGAATTCTTGTATGTTTATCGGTAGATCAGATCAGTTTGTAGGCCATCTGCGGATAAAATTTTATTGCATAATTCTTTAAGCCATCTTCTTTTGCCACTTTTTTATGCACAAAATGCATTATATTTGTGGCGTGAGGATAGTCTCTGCTGCTTCTTTCACTTTTTATTAGTCTTTGTTTTCGTCCTCTTACTGATTCCTGCCTTCGTTTCTTTAATTTTCAGTTCTCCTTTTCTCTTTTTGCCTATATAATAAATATATAAATAAAATAGAGAGCGAAGAAAAAAAAATGTAGCTAATATTTGTTTGCCAGTAATCTTACCTGTATTATTCGAAGTGCTGGAATCCTGGGTATTACTCTCAATTGTGTTAGTTGTGTGTTCAATATCGATATGCTTTTGGGCAGAAGACCGAAGATTTCTTTTTAATGATGGCTTTGCGGAACCTATATAAGTAAATATATAAATAAAATAAAGAACGTGAAGATACAAAAAATGTAACTATGATAATATTTGTTCCAGTAATCTTGCCTGTACTATTCGAAGTGCTGGAATTTTGTGTGTTGTTCTTAGTTGTGTCACTTTGTTATGGAGTATTCTCAATACCAGTATGCTTTTTGGCAGAAGAGCAAAGATTTGTTTTTAATGATGACTTCGTGAAACCTATATAAATAAATATATAAATAAAATAGCGACGTGAAGATCAAAAAATGAGCTAATAATTATTTCCAGTAATCTTACTTGTATTATTTGAAATGCTGGAATCTTGTATATTGTTCATACGTTTTTTGGCAGAAGGCTGAAGATTATTTTTAATGATGACTTCGTAGAAGTTAAAGTGTCTTTGTTAATGTTTTGGTTTTTATTAGAACAAGAAGACTTAAAATCTTTCAGTAGTGATATTGCATTAATCGCTGATGCTGAATTATCAGAATCTTGTGTATTATTGCTATCACTGCTATCATTATTTGTGACATCTTGCATAGGAAAACGAATTCTTCTTGTTGGTTTAATTGCAGGGGTTAGAGTATCAGAATTATACTCTATCTCATCTCTATTATCTTGACTAGCACTTTCGGAATCACTATCTTCATTAGATGTATTAATCAAAGCGTCAGAATCTTGTGCATGGTCAATCATCTCATTTGTATCGTCTTGATCAAAGATACTTTCTATATTGATACGTTTCTGAACAGAAGGTTGAGTATTTTTTTTTGGCAATGATAATGCATGCTTTTTTGTCTTTGTATTATCAGTTTTTTTTTTTTTGTTTGGTCAGCTTTTTTTGGTGTATTAATTGCAGGAATAGAAGTATCAGAATCTTCAGTCATCTCATTTATATTATCTTGATCTAGGATACTTTCTATATCAACGTTGCTTGTATTACGTCTTCGAACAGGTGGTTGAATATTCTTTTTCGGCAGCAGTAGTGCATGCCCTTTTGCTCTTGCATTAGCAATTTTCTTTTTTTTTTCCTGACCAACTGTTATAATATAAAAATTAAAAATATAAATAGTGAAAGCTATCACTACACATAAATAATCACTTACCCATGCTATTACAATATGAGGTAAGCCAGTTGCGAAGAATAAAATCAGCCTCAGAAACTAGGAATATTGGATTGGCTTCATTAAACTATAAAAATAATCTTAGTAGTTTTTTATTATTTAAAAAAACAATAAAAAAAATTTTGTATTTTTACTTCTTCAAAGACTTCTTTAGCTTTTCCCTTTGGTTGTCGAGATAGAGGTAAAAATTGAGAAGCTGCATGATTTCATAGATCGTTCTGCAGTATAAAACATATTACTATTAACATTAATACAAATTAACAGCTAAAAGCTCTTCCCTAAAATTTAGATACTGTTTTTTATCTAATTTTAAAAATTCATGCCATTGAAATTCTTTTTTATTTTTTTTTTTGTGTATCTTTGTAGTCTTCATATTCTTTAAGTTTAATTGGGTTCATCGTAGATAACTTGCAGTATCGGTATTATACATATATGTATTAGCCAAATAATTTTAAGCAAATATTATAAAGCTAGAAAAACTTACTTGCCCATTAACAATTCCACGAATAGCACTACTTGCATCTAGAAGTGGTTCAGTGAGAGTAGAATCAATAGCAACTAATACAGCGTATAATCGACAACGCTGTTCAGAATTTAATTCATTAGGCAAAGATGGGTCTGCATCAATTAATACAAGAAAAACTTGGCGACGTTGTTCAGAATTGAGTTTGTGGATATTAACTGAAAAATTGTTACGTTTTTCTATGATAATTTTTTTATTATTTTTTTTTTTGAAAAGCGATTAAAAAAAAAAGAATTCAAAAAAAAAGCAAAGCATATTTATAGTCATTGCATTTTTTAATGACATTATGATATTTATTTTGACTTTTTTTTAATCATCAAAATTATTAGTAGCAATAAAATATGAATTTTTTCTTACTGTTGTACTGTAATATGAAAAAATAATTCAAGATGGCTAATGATATTCTTTGTACTTGTGTCTGGTGCCTACAAGTATCAAACGGTCAGGGTAAATCAGTCAGCAGAGCAACTCATACAAGACACTTAATAAAACAAAAAAAAATTTGGCCTGATCCAGCAGATATGCCCATATTACAATGACGCTTGGCTACTTCTGTTCAACCTTTTTTACTTGTTGCTGATACATCGACAAGTTCATCTTTATCTTCATCAAGTGTTTTAACACCATTTCAGACAAATAAAGATGAAGATGGCTATAATCGTATTATTAATGAACTTGCTAGTATAAATGATCTTAATTTGGATAGTGCAGATGAACAAATTAGTATAGTATCTGAAGATGATGATGAATTATTGGAAGATCAAGAGGAATTAATTGAGTTGTTAGAATTTCAAGAAGAGCTAATTGAATCGTTAGAAGTTCAAGAAGGTGAAGAAAATGAAGAAAATATAGAGTTTGGTAAGCTTATAATCAAAATATATATATTATTATTGTTGTTATTTATTATAAAATTCTAATTTATTTTGCAGATATTTCAGAAAACTTAATTAAAGGTTTAAAACTTTATCAAATTAAAGACAAACATAATATGTCAGAAGCTGCGTTTAATGAAATTCTTAAAGTCTTGGAAATTCCTGAAATTTCTCTTTGCAAACTTGAGAAATATCTAGAAAATCTTGTGCCATTAAAGCTGACGCTAGTAGATTGTTGTATCAATTCATGCATAGCATTTACGGGTGATTTTGTTAATAAAATATCTGTTCAATTTGTAAAGAGCCTCGCTACAAATTTGACAAAGTATCTAAAATGTCCCGAAAAAAAGCTGCATATTGGTTACTTATTGATTCACTTAAAATACAGTACAAAGATAAGGCTCGTGCTGAAACTCTTCATTATCAACAAATTATACGTCATCACGTAACTATGCTCTCAGCAACAAAATTGGTGATATATTTGATGGCTTTTGATATAAGTCATTAGTTTCTTTAGGATTTTTTTTAGACTGTCGAGATGTTGGTTTAATAGTATCAACTGATGGATACCAAATATTTCGTCAAAAGCGGGATGACTGTTGGATTATTCTTGTTATAAATGCAAATTTACCGCCAAACATATGTGTTCAATGAGAAAATTTGATGATCTCTACAATAATTCTAGGACCGAAGGCACCTAAAGATTTTAATTCTTTTTTAAAACCATTGGTCGATGAGTTAAAGCTGTTACAAGGTACTATTAATTAGCATGTATTTATTTTATGATATATTACTTATCGATTTATATTAATAAATATAGATGGTGTTCCATGTATTGATGGTGCGACAGAGAATAGTTTTACCCTTTATGCACATATTTTAAGCTTTTCTGGTGATCTTCTAGCACTTGCCAAAGTCATGCATATAACTGGACATAACTCTTACAAGGCATGCTGTTTTTGTTCTATTCAAGGAATATATTGCCAAGGCAATCGGCATATATATTTTCCACTTAAACCTCCAACTGGAATGTCTGGATATCGATATAATCCTAAAAGTCTTCCATTACGAACACATGAAGATTATATACGTGATGCAACAGCTATAGAACAAATTTGATAGAAAATTATATAAACGTGAAGTACAAAAGCGAGGTATATTATTATTATTATTTAATAAATATTATTAAATAAATACTATTGATTTATTTTATTTAATAGGTCTTAATGGCCGAAGTATATTGTTTGAGCTCAATTCAATTGAGTTTCCTACATCGTTCCCTGTTGATATCATGCATGGGTTATTTGAAAATATTGCACCAGCGATGCTTCGGCATTGGTCTGGTACTTTTTTTAAAGACAATCAAGCTGCTAATTCTGATTATATCCTTTCTAACAGCGATTGGGTAAGAATAGGAAAAATTATGGAAAATAATTGAAAGAGTATGCCATTGAACTTTGGTCATCCTCTTATTGATATTAAACGACATTCAGCTGCCTTCAAAGCAGAAGACTGGTTAAATTGGGTAGTATTATATTCATTACCGCTTTTACAAGGCAATCTTCCGGAAAGGTAAATTCATAAATAAATTAATTTATATTTTTGAATTAGACTTTTAACATTTTTAGATTCTTCAGATATTTAAATGGGTAGGCGAAATTCATATATGCGACAAAGCTTTGTCTTAAGAAAAGTATCAGCATAACAGAATTAAGAGAGATTGAAAAACTTTACTGTGAATTTGTGATTCACTATGAGAAGTATGTTTTATATTCCTTTTGATATTACTATTTTCGTAACATATAACTTTGTAATTTTAATAAATTTTTACTGTAAAAGAGAATATCTTCAAAATAATTCAACAAGAATTTCAGCCGCACTTATCTCTTATCACTATTTGCTACATATTGCCATATCAATATATAATACTGGACCTGTGTGGGTGACCTGGCAGTATCCAATAGAGAGGCTATTTGGAATGCTATTACCTCTAGTGCACTCTAAACAGTATCCATATATAAATCTTCAAAATCAGATTACTACATGGATTCGTTTTTCCCATCTTCAATATAAAGCTGAAGTAAATCAAAAGCTTTTTGATTCGAGCTTGAAAATCCCAGCTAATTCTGAAGACCGTGTTTTTGCTACTGATAATGCTCAAAAGAAGTTATATTCTCCATCACGCAAATATCATATGAACAAGTCTGAACTAAAATGTCTCAAAGCTTATTATATAACAGCGTTAGGGATACGTGCAAACCAGCTTCTGGTAAGATTTAAGTTACCTTTACCTTTTATTTATTTTACAACCCATTTTATTAATTTGTTATTTAAAGTTTGTTACAAGTTCTATTAAAAAGTATGGAAAATTTCAAATGAACAATGGACTAATGATTAACTCAAAGCTATCGAATCGCAAAGGAGATTTAGCACGTACAAACTACTGTATCACTGTATGTAAATTATTAAATTATTGGTATAACTTTAAAAAAATTCGCTATTTTAATATTGGCTTTTTATGCAGGCAAAACTTATAGTTGATCGAAATGCACCAGTTATCTTAGAAGAAAAGGAATTTTTTGGCGAAGTGCGATATTTTTTTTCACATCAGTATGGTGATCACTGGTCTATGCTAGCATACGTGCAGTGGGTACGAAATCCTCAGCCTTCTGAACATGGGCTGTTAAAATTTCGAGCCTTTGAAGTAATTAATATTAGCGCAATTTGTAGAAATGTTGGATTTTTTAGATTGCCTAATAATGAGTCTTACATTATTGATCAAGAAAATCGAATCAGATTTCGATAGTTAGCTATTTATATATTTTATTATATAAATGTAGGATCTGGAAAAGATCAGGATATGCATTAAAATAAAGTGCATAATATAATCTATTTTAATTCCGTATTATTTCTTCAATTTTCCATTTTTATTCCATTTTAGTTCCATATTAAAAATTCAATTTTTATTCCGTATTATAAGTTTCAAGGGGAGATTAAAGAACACTGAACCCAGTGATCATCACAGTATCACATGACAATCACTCGGCCTAGGTTAGGGGTTAGTTTAGGCCAGCTTGTTTAGTTCTGGTAAATAAATGACGTCATGATGTGTTTATCATGTGATCGTCGATTACTGATCTTTAAGTGTCCCAAGTTTCAAAATGTTTTATATATTACGAAAAAAAGACTAACCAACTAATTATTTGATTACCACTTTTATAATATGTATGGAACCTTCACGGAGTCAAATATTTATAAAAATATAATGGAAATATTCCGGAATGCATTTTTTATAGGGTATACATAAAAATACACTATATTGGTATATATTTACTTAAAGGAAAAGAAATACTATATAACTAAATGATGTGTCTGTCTTCAGTATTTTGGTTAACTACTCATTAGACACATTATTCATGAGTAGCATGTGGCATGTTTCTAAAAGGATATAATTCAAATCTTTTTGTTTTGGGTGTATATGGAATGAGACTTATTTTTCCATTTACAGTTCCTACTTTAGCTTTGTCTTCGGCTTCTTTTCTAGCTTTATCTTCAATTTTGTCTTCAGGGTTGTTTTCAATTTCATTTTTAGTATTGTTTTCGCGGTTGGCTTCTTCAATTTTGTCTTCAGAGTTGTCATTTTTAGTATTGCTGGCTTCTCCACCTTTGCCTTTAGGGTTGTCATTTTTAGTATTGCTTTCGCGTTTGGCTTCTTCTTCTTTTTCAATATTTTTATTAGCTTCTCTAAATAATTCATCGACCTTCTTCAAATCTTTATAACAACTTTAAAATTTATATTTGCAAATAATTATATAAGTATTGAATCGATATTTAACGAGATAACATTAATACCATTAAAACTATTGTAGCATTCATTCTTACTCGTTATAGTAAACTTTACCAATCTTCGTTTGAATTAATTTTTTTGCGCAATCTTAAAATATTTCAAATTAACAAGCTCAGTGTGTGTTAAAAAAGATCATTAAAACAATATTACTTACTAAGACACGGAGACCTAATAAAAAATATTAAATTTCTGATGATTAAGTATAATTTATAAATATCATTTATAATACTTATACGCTTACGTAGTACAATAAAGAGTACAACCCTCTGCTTCTCTTCCGGCTATCAATAATACATTTTCTTCCGCGTGTAAACATATACAATTATCCCTTCCTTCCTCTTTGATACCTTTACAACGTTCACAACGACCATCAATGCAATTATCTATGTATTTGGGTGCTCCATTATACCCAGTTGCGATTACTCTGTAATCGTCTTTAACTAATATGCATCCAACCTTACGGCTCATACAATTGGTTCTTGATGCTGTCACCTCTGCTAAATACATAAAATAATCTTCTTTCAATGATCGTAATGGGTTTTTCAATATCTTTGATATCTCTTGTTTAAGCTCATCATTTGATTTATGATCAGTTGACACAGTGAAATCAGCCACGGACATTATTTTATATTTTTCCTTATTATCGTTATCAATTTTTTTCATAAATTCGGAAACATCGATTTTTACACTGTTTCAATAATAGTTAATTAAACATATTCGATAACAAACTGTAATACTCTTAAAATTGATGCCTACTTTTCCTTCTGGTTGTTCCGGTTGTCTCTCACCCAGTTTTCATATCGAGGACTTAAAGCACTATCCACGGCCAATAATAAGAAAAGAATGCTTTTTCTATTAAAAAAAAGAATCATTAAATTTATATCTTTTATACAGTAACTTGTCGTTTTTAAAGGTTGCGTATAAGAATTACCTGTATTCATGTAATTCTTCTTCTGTCTTAATCTCGATCATGTATTTCCTCTCATAATTCATTTTGACCATTCCTAACAAGAGTTCTGGATTTTTCTTATCACGTTTCTCTTCATCTTTAAGCTCAGCTTTCCATTTGGTAAATTCAGTTTCTCCATCTTCAAAGTTGTGGTCATTTTTAAGCAATTCGATAACACGGTCTTTATCAGAATAAATAGTGTAGGTTATTCCGATAAGCATAATTGAAGTTTATTGTTATCTGGATGCAAACTCAAAAAAATTTAATGAGTTTTATAAAATTTTTTCTATTTTAAAAAATAATAATGCACAATGACAAAAAAATCTTATTATAAGCAATTCTTCATTTAATAAATGGTACAAAAGAATTATACAAAAACGTCATTCAATATACTGTTTATGTTTATATTCTGTGTCATTACGAAAGATTTTTTAGTTAAGGGATTATCGGTTCCAGACCTTTACGCAAAGAGATATGCTAGCATTTAATTTAAAGTTTCACGTACGTAACTTACAAATTTTGTTTTACAAAATGATTTTTATATAAAGTCAGTCTGCTCTCATTATAATGACTATCTTCACTATAATAGAGTAATCTCTAGTCTATTGTTCATTGTTCATTAGAAATTTCTATATAAATTATTTAAAACAAAAAATTTTTTAAAAATACTCTTAAATTTAAATCGCGAGTTACGCGAGTTTATGAAGTTTAAAATGATTAGTAATCTGCATTTAAATTATATTGGCTTTGTGTAACTCACTAATTGAAATATGTTTTTGTAATTCGCAATTTACAAAACTTACAATGAATTGTCGTGATACGAATTACTCTAAAAGCTCGAGTAATACTTTTCTAAAGGTTGATGCAAGTCCAGTCACTACATACACGAACTAAACATACTAGCCAAAATCAGTTACGATATTAGTGGTTTTAAGTTTTTGTGCGATTTCTTGACAGTGAATTCACTTATTACATTTACTAAATTTGGCTAATAAATAGCAGTCACGCCACCAGATAGTTAAAGGAAATCGCTTGTAAAAGATTTCTATTTATTATTTCCTTTCTGAGATTTTTAAAAATTACAACATAATATTGTATAAGATCAGCAAATATGCTTATAACTGTGTCTGTTATTTCGGATTTTATCAGGTCTTATTGCAATAAATAAAACTTAATTGTGGTCTTACAGCGCTTTTCAAATTACTGTGTTCATCAAATGATCGCCCATCGCACGGAAATCTGGCACTTTCTCATGAATAAATCTAATTAAAATGTCAGGAACAAAAAATTCTCAAGATTCCCCGTTATATTTCGATTCTCCAGCATCACTTCTAGTAGTACACTAGATCTGGTAGTTATTGAGACAAAGTGATATCAAAATTTCCGGGATTTTCTTTTTGTTAGTGAGAATTTTGATATCATTTCGACAAACCAGCTACCAGATCTAATGTACTACTAGAGGCAGTACTGCAGAATCTAAATATAATGGGGAATCTTGAGAAATTTTTATTTCTAGACATGTTAATTAGATTTATTTATGAAAAAGTGCCAAAATTTGCCAAAATTTTCAGATTTCCACGTGATGGGCGATCATTTGGATGAACACAGTAATTTGAAAAGCGCTGTAAATAAGTATGCAAGGTTATCAGAAAATCAGTAATCGATCGATTTCATGGGTGCCTAAATTATTTTATTGGCCTGCCATAAATAAAAATGTCGAAAATATTTTAGGTATATAGCCTAAATTGTAAATAATTTCGGATGCCGAAATTATTTTTGGATGCTTTTGGATGCAAAATTTATTTTCGGGTGCCGAAAATATTTTCGAATGTCGAAATTAGTTTTATACCGAAAAAATTGTTAATTCTTATTCAATTCTTTCGTTTATCTTATTTTTAATTCTGGATTGTGTGTGTCTGACTATAGTATAATTAATATCATAATAAAGTGTATTCTTGCTTACTACTGAAAGTAATTCCTAAATTTTTTACATATCGATACTTTTTCAAGTTCAAAAAATTTTTTGGGTTATAACAACAATGAAGTATAATGATATTATATATACAGTATAAACAATTAATTTTATGGATTTGATAGAATAGTTTTTTAATATGTTTTTGAAAAAAATGATTAAAGTGTAAAAGATAATTTTATTCTAATATAATGTAAATAAAATTTTTACTTGAAAATATTGTAATATATACAAACAAATTCTTATTTGTATTATTCCTAGATGCATTTAAAAATTCATTAATATCATAATCTGTTTATCCTCAAGTTCTACAATATTACCAATATCATAATTTGTTTCATTTGTTTGTTCTCTCACAAAAATATTCAAATCTATTTATTTTATTTGTTTGTTCTCTCACAAAAATATTCAACTCTATTTATTTCTTTAACTTCCAGACTTTCACAATCAAATTGCATAATTTCATCTAAATTATTTTTTATCAGAAATATACTCAGCACTAATTTCAATATTATTGTTAAATACATTATTATTATATTTAATTGAATTTGAATTTTTCTCAAATTGTCTTTGAAATATTTGTTTACAACATAATTTAATTCATTTTGAGCATCTATATTATAATATGCTACGAATAGATATAATAGATAGACACTATGAGATAAACAAAAATCAAACCTGACTGACTACTATTGTTTAAGTTATTAAATGTTATTTTTGTACAAAAAAAACAAACAAGTATCGCACACCAAAATACTATACATACGTACGTATATACCTGATACCTACGTATTTTCAAACCCTGTTTGAATTAGGAATATAGTAAATTAGTACAGTACGGAAGCATAATTTAGTACGTACGAACATTAAAAAAAGAAAACAAAATTATACTCAGACGTACGATTACATATTTAATGCATGATCGATTTCAATTTATCTTGAATATTTGAGGGGGTGACCAAACAAATGTGTGACGAATAAGAATTAATTAAAATACGTATATGATTAATTCCTATTCATCAAACAATAATTGGTCACACCCTCAAACTTTAATTATCGTTCTCTATGGTAGCTACTCAACTTTTTTATTCGATTGCTACAAATCTGGATAATATATTTTACGTCGAAGAATTTAATTTGATCAAGTAAGTATACAATTTTTTAATATGAACTTGTTTTTCATAACTATAAAATTAAAATTATTATCAGGAATCAGAACCGAATAATTTGTAAAAGAATCAATTGATGACAAAAAAATTATAGAAATACGTGCTTTATATCCCAGTTTTACATTAAAACTATATGATGAAAGATTGTTTAAAATTAAACAAGCTCGGGCGTGTTATATGCAAAATGATAAAGGTGAAATTAAAAAGCAACAAATTGCATCAAATAGAAAAGATAAATATTGATTTTAAACCTATTTTTTAGAAAAAAAGATTAATTTTCTTTTTTTATTTAAAAAGATGTAAATCCACTAATGCTAATGTATACATCTCCATTATCAACAACAATAATAATTGGCTGGAGCTGAGGGAAGCCTTAAAGCCATACTCTACGATTTTTTTAGAAATGTCCGGTTCCCGGTTCAGCTGGTCCTGATTTAGGTTCGGAATCCGAAAATTGAACCTAAAATTAGGATCGATTTTGGATACTAAAACGTTAATTTAAAATGTAGCTGCTAACTTTAAAATCATTGTAACAAATAATAATGAAAATTTTTTTTAGCAAACACATTGAATAAGAACATTAAATAAATTTTGCTGTTGACTTTTAAAATACATGGGGTAAAAAGAATTTTTATACAAACGCATAAATCAAATAAATACGTATTTTTGATTTCAAGCACGTTAGATAAAATTAGAAGAAATTCGTTAAAATAAATAAACGAAATATTAACTGATATTCACATTAAAATAATTGAAATATGATTGGTTAAAGTTAGGGTTGGGGCACGGGGTGTGATTTCAATTTGTCACAGGGGCACGAGTACGGTTGCAATTATACCGGTATAATAAAAAATGGTAGTATAATACCAAGTATAATACTGTATTATACCGTATAGGGTGGTATAATGGTATAGCTCTTGTGATCTTTAACCTATAGGATTATTATCATACTATAAAGCAGATAAACAACTTTCGTAGCTAGAAATATATTCTTGGATTATATTGTTAATTAAGAAACACTATTTATATTTATTCATTATACGCATTTAGATTATTTTATGTAGTGAATTTTAATATTCGTTATAAATTAAAGATGGCTTTTATAGCAAATTTTTTAAAGACATATATAAGCAAGGTATTTGAGCAATGAATTGTATTAGAAATAAAATTCTAATATATTTTATTTTTTAATTTATATTTAATAAATCTAATATTCGCATTTAAAAAAATATATATTTGTAAATAAAAAAAAAAATAAATAAGAATTCTTATTTTAAAAGAAAAAAAATTTTTTTTGAAAAAAAAAAAAACAAATAAAGAATTCTTATTTTAATTCTAAAATCCTTCAATGCTTTAATTTCTTAAAAAATAATTTTAAAAAATAAATCTATTTTAAATAATTATATCAGTATTTAACTCAAAATTAAATGAATCATTTTCATCATTCTCAGGTTCAACGTTATTACTACATTCAGATTCAATGTTATTACTATATTCAGCTTTATAATTATTAATATTTAAAGTTACATTTATATTTTCATCCTTAATGCTATTCTTTGTTGCTTCTTTTTCCATATATTGCATTCTTAAATTACCATATATATAAACTAACTTTTTTACTCATTTATTTTTTAACCAATTTCTAACTTTTAAATATATAAATTCAAAGTTTGAATAATTTCGTTCTGCAGATGCAGATGAAGTTGGAATAGATAAGACATGAATTGCAAATTTTTAAAGTTCAGAATAAGACCAAGAAGTTCACCAAGTTGCTGAATCAATATGAAAAGCTAAATTCCAAATAAGCTTATTATCAAATGGTGCTTGTTTGTTTCAAAATTTTAACAAATCTGCATATATTTTAGATGCTATATTATTAGGATACTTAGCAGAAATAAAATTTGTGAATATTGATAAACAAATAGATTCTTTATTATCTTTTTTACTTTCTTCAAAATAGCATGGATCCATTATATATGCAACAGTTATTATAGGATGATAAATATAGCTCCAACAAGTTTGAATATTTTGTTAAATTTTAGCAGAATAGCTACAATTAATTTTTTGAATCTCTGTTAAAATCTTATTGAATTGAGAATAAACTGTTAAAATAGCAGAATTGTTAGCCTCAAATGCTTTTAATATAGCAATTATTGGTTTAAGAATCTTAATAATTATATTAAGATTAGTCTAAAATTCATTAAACTGCAATCGTGCTTTAATTTGTAAATCTAAAGTTTCTGTACTTTGATTAAAAAGTATTTGTTGAATTGCTGTTTTTGATTTTACAAGAGATTTTATACAATCTAAATATGTGCTCCATCTTGTTAGTGCTGGAAGAACTAGTGCAATTTCTTTATTGTAATTTTCTTTTTGAATATATCATAATTTGGCCATAACTATATTATGATTTTTATAATATTTAACAACAGTTTTTAAGTCTTCTATAATTAGTTTAATTTCATCTATTTGTAAAATATCATCTACTAAAAGATTAATTATATGTGAAGAATATCCAAAGCAAATTATATAAGGATATTTTTCTTCAATTATTCTCCATGCTGCTTTTATATTTGCTGCTGTGTCTGTAATAATTGAAGAGAATTTTTAAACTTCTATTTGTTTTATTTTTGTAATAATTTGAGCTACAATCCACTCTGCTATATGACAGTCTTTACCAGAATAAATTGCATTATAAAAGAATGGTTTTGGTATACAAACAATAAAGTTTTGAACTGCTTCATGTTTGATATTTGACTATCTATCTGAAACCATTGTAATATTTTGTACTTTGCTGATTTCATCTTCAATTTCTTTCTTTACATCTTCATAAACTTTGTTTAAAAGTTCTTCAGATAATTTTGCTCGACTAGAAATTCAGAATAATGAATGAAGAGTATTAAAAAATTCTAACCAAAATAGATTTTTAAATATATTAAAAGAAATACCAGAAGCAAAAACTGCTCTAGCAAATTTGTATTCCAAATCTAATATTTCATTATAATATATTTTATTAACATAGTTGTCTATAATACCTTGTTTAGTTTTTAGTTTAAATAGATTAATTGTATTTAAGTGTTGAGAATTTGTTTTTTTAATAGTTTTAGCTGAATCAAGTACATTTGAGCAAGTATTAGTACCGTATTCTATCATGAATAAGCACTTATTATGAATAAGCACCTCCTATAAGTAAAATTTTTAATCAAGAATAAGCACTCTATAGATCAGAATCAGAAAAATTCTGAAATACAGTACCTACTATAAATTCTGTTACATGGATATCGGAGGCTTTTGCCTAGACCGGATATTTATAGTTGACTTAGATCGATCGATTGATTAATAACGATAAAAATTTTTTAAATTCAAAAATTTTATTAGCATATAAAGTATACAAAGCATATATACACTTATCACTACGTATATATTATATTTTATATATTTATATATATATGCATATATATATATATTTAGCATGTACATATTACCTTTAATCAAGAGTACGTACCTATGTACATATGTATAATTTTCTTTTTGCTTCAACAAACTGCTTCTTACATTGTCGCTAAATAGTATACTAAATTGAATTTACTTATTCTTATTACATTATATACTGCTTAATCTTCTAAACTAACACCAATTTATACTTTCGCAAGACTGCAAGAGGTAAAATAAATTTATATTTCTATGCTTAATTTCTTATTTATAA